TTTTTCTTCTTCAGTAGTGCTTTGCTTATCCGAGGTCTCTTTCCTTTCCATATAAAGTAAGTGATTGGTTTTTCCATATCCCTAAAGAATGTTGATGGGATCTGCACTGGGATTGCATTGAATGTATAGATTGCTTTGGGTAGAACTGACATTTTCACAATATTCAATCTTCCTATCTTAAGCAAAATTCTTTACAGGAAGATGCAGTTCTGCTCTACTGCCCTGTAGGGTCCCTATGAGTTGGAACCAACAGGATGGCACACAACAAACACCACAACATTGTAGAAGAAGTGGTGTTTGAGTTGCTACTTGATGGTTTTCGCATAGTGAACAAGCCTCTGGGGTATATTATCAGGTTGTGGTGTAGTGCCTAAGGCATTTGACTTCTAACCAGAAGGCTGGCGGTTCAAACCCACCAGCCACTCCACGGAAGGAAGATCGAGCAGTCTACTTCTGTAGAGATACTGCCTCCGAAACACAATTGTCTCTATTAGTCAAATCGACTTGATGGCAGTTGAGTTTAGAATTAAGAGTGAAGAAGCCAAAGATCCTTGGGCCCAGCACATTTTTGGCAGGTGTTTGCCAGTCTCCCTCAGCCCAGCCCATTTCATGTGTAGATGTTTTTAAGTTCTGACCTTTTGGGCTATAGATGTCTAAGTTCACATATATACACTGAGCAAAACACAACCTTGTATGTATAGACCTGAAATGTTACTAACTTAAATCAGTTAAACATCTGATTTTTTTTCAAAAGTATTATTAGTTTTATGGCTTAAATTTATTAATATCATTTATTTTTAAAAATGTTATAATGTAGCAGGTGTTGGATTAATGGTGTTGAGACAGTGTGAATAGATAAAAGAATGAATAATGACAAATAACAAAGAATGAAAATAACACTTTTTTTCCTGTGGAGAGCCACATTTTAGGCTTTGTGGGCATATGATCTGTGCTGTAAGGATGCAGTTTGTTGTAGCATAAAAGCAGCAACAGACATTAAGTCAATGAATAGGCATTGTTGTGTTCCAATAAAACTTTATTTACAAAAAATGGTGTCAGGCCTGATTTGGCCACATTCTGTAGTTCGCTAACCCATAATATACAACAGTCAGTACTTTAAAGAAATTATAATGTGCAGAAGATAGGTGTATTTTCCTCTTAAAGAATGTATAAATGTTTTAATTCTGTGCTTAATTATGTGCAGGTAACATATCTTGGGAAAGAGCTTTTAAAGTATATTTCTGAAGAAGTATCCCTGCCTCCAGAACCAAACTGGGTACCTCAGCAACATCGACCTTGTCTTCCAGGTATGTGCATACCAACACTCATTTCTTAGTTGTGGAATAAAAACACCTAGTCCTACTGAGAAAACACTCTCTTTTTCTAATCCCCCTGCTCAATCAAGGTAAAATTTGCATAACATAAAATTAATCATTTTTAAATGAACAATTCACTGGCATTTAGTACATTCACAGTGTTGCAGAACCACCACCTCTATGTGGTTCCAAAACATTTTCATCACCCAAAAGGAAACCTAAACCCATTAAGCAGTTATTCTTTATATCCTTCTCCCTGGTCTCTGGCCCCCACCAGTCTGTTTCTTTGGATTTAGCTAGTCTGGATCTTTCACATAAAAATGCATATAATATGTGACCCTTTTGCATATAGCTTCTTTCACTTGGCATGTTTTTAGGATCATCCATATTATAGCATGTATCAGAATTTCATTCTTTTCCATGGAAGAATAATACTCTATTATACACACACACACACACACACACATACACACACGAGTCCTGGTGGCACAGTGGTTAAGTGTCTAGCTGCTAACTGAAAGGTCAGCTGTTCCAACCCACCAGCCACGCTGTGGGAGAAAGATGTGGCAGTCTGCTTTCATAAGGATTTACAGCCTTAAAAGCCCTATGGGACAGTTCTTCACTGTCCTACAGAGTCACTATGAGTTGGAATCGACTCAATGGCAATGGATTTTGGGGAATATATATATGTATCCATATATGTATATGTGTGTGT